ATTTGGTGCTCGTCACGCCAGCCTCCTCCTTGTTTCTTGGAACACCCCAAGCACGCTCCTATCTCAGGCCTTTGCACTGGCGGCCCCCTCTGCTTTGCTCACTCTTCTCTCAGGTTCCCTGAGTCCTCCCTCACTTCATCCAAGGTTCTGTTCAATTGTCACCTCTTCAGAGAGAGGCCTCCCAGACCACTCTCTAGGAAACTGCACACCCTCCACCCGCAGACGTCTGATGCACCTGACCCTCCCAGCTTCCCTTCCGCTTGAATTTTCCCCAGAACAGACAAGTCTGTGATTATTTGATCAATGATTTGATTGATCTCTTCAACTAGGACTAAAAGTCCTTGAGCTCTCAGTCGAGTCTGTTCTGTTCACAGTTCCCAATGCCTAGATCAGAGCCTGGCACACAGCAGGAACTCATAAATGCTTCTTGCATGAATGAATGAATGAATGAGTGAATGACTGACTGCATGGGTGACTGCACTACACTTTTGTGTTTTTTTTTTGAGATGGGAGCCTCGCCCTGTCACCCAGGCTGGAGTGCAGTGGTGTGATCTCGGCTCACTGCAAGCTCTGCCTCCCGGGTTCACGCCATTTTCCTGCCTCAGCCTCCTGAGTAGCTGGGACTACAAGCGCCCGCCACCATGCCCAGCTAATTTTTTGTATTTTTAGTAGAGACGGGGTTTCACCATGTTAGCCAGGATGGTCTCGATCTCCTGATTTCATGATCCGCCCGCCTCGGCCTCCCAAAGTGCTGGGATTACAGGCGTGAGCCACCGTGTGTGGCCCACTCTTTTTTTTTTAATATATACTTTAAGTTCTAGGGTACATGTGCACAACGTGCAGGTTTGATACATAGGTATACAAATGCCATGTTGGTTTGCTGCACCCATCAACTCGTCATTTACATTAGGTCTTTTTTTTTTTTTTTTGAGACAGGGTTTCACTGTCGCCCAGGCTGGAGTGCAGTGGCGTGATCATAGCTCACTGCAGCCTTGACCTCCAGGGCTCAAGCGATCCTCCCACCTCAGCCTCCCGCATAGCTGGGACCACAGGTGCATGCCACCACGCCCAGCTAATCAAAACAAAAATTTTTTGTAGAGATGGGATCTCACTATGTTGCCCAAGCTGGGACTGCATTGTTTGACGTCTGAGCAGTCCTCTGGCTGAGCTGGGACAGCAGTGTGCCCACCTCCCCACCCGCCAATTCTTTGTTCCTAGTGGATGGGAATGGAACAAGGTAAAACACCCTTGACACCTCTTCTTCCCAGCATCTAGGATTTGATGAGGCTGCACCTTCAAAGTCTTCCGATCGCACTCACAGTCACTCTGCCCTGGGTCAGACTCAAATGCAAATCGGGCCCAGATTGGGTTTAGGGCCCTACCACACATTAAGATTGCAGTGTAACTGGAGCTTGGGAGCTGTTAGGGTTTTCACCTCCCTCAGCGATGAGGTTTTGAGGCGAGGAGAAAACCAGGGCCGGCAGGGTGCAGTGGTTCATGCCTGTAATCCCAGCACTTTGGGAAGCTAAGGCGGGCAGATCACTTGAGGTCAGGAGTTCGAGACCAGCCAGGCCAACATGGCAAAATCCCATCTCTACTAAAAATACAAAAGTTAGCTGGGCGAGGTGGTGGGCGCCTGTAATCCCAGCTGCTCAGGAGGCTGAGGCATGAGAATCACTTGAACCCAGAGAGCAGAGGTTGCAGTGAGCTGAGATTATGCTGTTGCACTCCAGCCTGGGTGACAGAGCAAGACTCCATCTCAAAAAAAAAAAAAAAAAAAAAAAAGGTCAGGCGAGGTGGCTCATGCCTGTAATCTCAGCACTTTGGGAGGCCGAGGCAGGTGGATCACTTGAGGTCAGGAGTTCAAGAGCAGCCTGGTCAGCATGGTGAAATCCCATCTCTACTAAAAAAATGAATACAAAAATTAGCCGGGCATGGTGGTGTGTGCCTGTAATCCCAGCACTTTGGGAGGCTGAGGTACGTGGATCAGTTGAGGTCAGGAGTTCAAAACCATCCTGGCCAACGTGGTGAAACCCCATCTCTACTGAAAAAAAAATACAAAAATTAGCCAGGCATGGTGGTGTGTGCCTGTAATCCCAGCTACTGGAGAGGCTGAGGCAGGAGAATCGCTTGAACCCAGGAGGCAAAGGTTGCAGGGAGCCGAGATCGTGCCTCTGCACTGCAGCCTGGGCAGCAGAACAAGACTGTATCTCAAAAAACAAAACAAAATTAAATCCAGAAAGAAAACCAGGGCCTACTTTAGTTATTGCCGCACATCTCTCCTCATGTCACCAAGCCAGCCATGAACAGCTGTTGACTGCTGCCTTTTAGCTGTGACTGCTCTTCTGGGGACCCTGGTGGCCATAGATGGGCCTACCCTGTATAGCATGGTGGTTAAGATTCTGGAGTCGTTTTCCTTGAAACAGCGTGGGACCTGGTATAATGCATTTCACCTAACTGAGCCTCAGTTTTCTGTGCCTGTTAAATGGGCACAGTGATTACTGGCCACCCCAAAGTTATCCAATAGAAAGTGTTCGACTCAGTTCCAGGATCATGGTTGTTTTGGGGGTTGAGGGGGCTGCATGGAGTCGCCGGGGGTGCAGGGTCTGGGCTTTGAGAGCCTCACTCACTCGCAAAGAATGATGCCGTCTTTGAGGCCGTCCATGAAGTTGTTGCCGATGCGACGGCCTGTCACCCCCTCGATCCACTCTCTCAGCTCCTGCTCCCGCTGGTGGTCGTACTTCTGGGCCAGCTGGGGCGGGGGGCACAGAGAAACGGGTGAGGATGCCATGGGGGCAGCCTGGGCTCCCTGGGTCCTATCCGAGCCTCCTAGAGCCTGATCTCCCTCGTCCTTCCCAACTAAGGCAATTTTGCCCCAGATCACCCAGTTGGGAGGGTGGGGGCTGGGGAGGGCCGAGAGCCAGGGCTGAGGTGGCACCTGCCCAGGGGGCCATTCCGGGCATTCTGAGGTTTGGCACCAGGGAATGTAGACGAGGGGTGGGGTGTGGGGAGCTGGATCCTCTGAGCTAGAGGGGTGGCGCCAGGTCCCCTGGTTTTACGTCCAGGCCAAACTTGGGGCTTCTCTTCCTCTAGCCCTGCCCCTTCTGCGTCCCCTGTTGGAAGAAGGGGCACCTCAGGAAGGGAAGAAGGAAGTCTAAGGAGGTGCCCCTGGGTGCTGGCTTGCAGAGGAGTGCTGGTCATACATCTCTGTCTCTCCATGTCCCCCAGGTCTTCGGCTCCAGGGCTCTGTCTCTGGTTAGGGTAGAGGCTTGCCTCTGTCTTAGACCCCACCCCTTGCACGTCTGTATATCTCTCTCCCCCTTATCAAGCCCCACGACTCCTCTGTCTCTCTTCCCCAGCGGTGTCTTTCCTTGGCCCAGTCTTGGGGTCCCCATCTCTCTGGGTGGCTAGTCCCTGTCTGGCCAGGGGCGGGGCTCCTGGGTCTTGCATCTCTGCCTCTCTAGGTCTTTCTCTGTCTCCAGGTTTCCTGCCTGGGTGGGGGGTGGGGCTCTGTCTCCCTTCCCTGCCCCTCCATCCCTGTCTAGGTCTTATCTCGCTCCTGGCTCGCCCTCCCACGTCTGTCCCTAGGGTGTCTCAGGCTCCCAGTATCTCTGTCTGCCTCTCCCCCCGGCTTTTCCCTCTCTCCACCGTCCCCCTCCTCCCCCACTCCCATTTCTCCAGAACCCTCCGCCACAGTCCAGCCAGGCTCCCAGCCCCTAGGGGACCGGGCTGCCCTTTCTTCTCCTGGGTAGGTGGGGGGAGGTGGGAGGGGCGGCCCCCTCACCTGGCCCTGGCCCTGCCGCCCCCCACACCACCAGCCCGGCTTTTTAAAGCAAACCGGCCCTTATATAGCGTGGCCTGGGCTCCCCGAGGCCACCTTATAAGGCGCGGCGGCTCTGCGCGGCTCTGGGGCCGGCGCTGGGGGGAGGAGGGCGGCGCTGGGATCTGTCTCCCGCCCGAGAACCCGCCCCCAACCAGCCCCCTCCTCCAACCAGCCCCCTCCTCCAGCCCCGAGGATCCCCCGACCCAGGTTCCAACCTAGTCCCCCACTTCCTCACCACAGGACCCTGGGAAAAGCCACCCTGAGTCTCAGTGTTCCCCTCTGTCAAATGGGGCAGGAACTCCTCCCTCGGCAGTGCTGTTGGGACGATTCCAGCGGGCTGGAAACTTCAAGTTCTCCAGCTGGGAGAAGCTGAGACCATCCTGGTATATGGGGGGTGACTCCAGGGTCCGAGCGCTGTACCTGCTTTACCTGGGATCCCAGCTATTTGCCTCTCCTCTCCGAACCTGTTTACCCATCCACAGCATGAAGGTGGTGTCCAGGTATCTTCCTAGCTCCACAGTTAGGAGACCCCTGCCGCACTTCTGATGCCCGCTTCCTGCCCTCCACCGTCCCCCTTTGCCTTCAGGATCTCCCACACTTTCCCGGCGTCACCTCCCAGGAGCCCCAGCTCTCAAGCGCTCCCCAATTTCTTTGTGAGGCTGGGGGATATGGAAGAATCAACAAGTCTTCCCCCTCTGTTGTTCCCCCCAAGAACACAAAGGGTTAAAAGAAGACTGATCAGGTGGGTATCTTTGCAATGGACTGACCCCCTCTGTTTATGTGTGGCTGTGTGCCCCCTATTCCACCCCCAACCATAGCTGGGGGCTCTGGGATGTTCAGGGGGAGACAGGCAGCCCCTATCCCATATCACTCCCTTTTCCCCTCTTAGTTTCCGAGTCACATAGGATAGGCAGGAGGGGGTTCAAGGGACCCCAAGCTCGGGGCTCTGGCCTGGCAGGACGTGTGGGCCAGGCCAGGGAGGCCCTCCAGCCCTACCTTGTTCTTAACCTCGGCTGACAGCCCGTAGGCAGGGCCTCGGTTGAAGTGAGCAGAGGACATGCTGGCCGGTGGGCTCTGGCGGGGGGTAGTGGCGCAGTACTGACGCTGAGGACCAAGGCAGCAGCTGAAGTTCCGTCTGCACCCTCTTCCCTCCTCACACGTTTTTGAAGCTCCGGAGGCGGCCCGGGTCTCTTCCAAGGCCATTCCATTGGCTGTAGGGGCTTGCCAAGGGGCGGGGCACCCCCCCAACCTCTGCTGCCTTCCCCCCCCCTTGTGATGTCAGGCCCTTGGTATTGGGAGCTGATTGTGTCATTGTTTCCACCTAGGGGGGCAGCCTACGTTATTCTGGGGGGGCTTGGTCAGACAGAGACCAGCCTTCTTCCACCCACCCCTCCCGCTGTCCATTGGGCCTCTGGCTGGGTCTGAGTCTCTTTGTCTCTGAGGTCTCTTTATCCCTCTGGAGTCTTGAGGCAGGACTGACACCCATGATAGTTTAGTGAGCACCACCCCGGGTTTATCTCCAGATACCAACAGTCTATAGCCTTAGGTAAGCCCCTTCTCCTCTCTAGGACTCTATGGCCACATCTGTAAAATGGGGCAATGACAGTGCCTGCCTCATGAGAGAGTTGTAAAGATCAGAAGAGTATGTCTCTTACATTCCTAGCACAGTGCCCGGCACAGCAGAGGGACTCGGGCTGCAGCATTCTTTTTTTTAAGGCAAGGTTTCACTCTGTCCTCTCAACTGGAGTGCAGTGGCACAATCACAGCTCACTGCAGCCTTGACCTCCCAGGCTCAAGTGATCCTCCCATCTCAGCCCATCCAAGTATTTAGAATTACAGACTTGTGCCACCAACCTGGCTAATTTTATTTTATTTTTAGAGATGGGATCTTGCTATGTTGCCCAGGCTGGTCTCAAATTTCTGGGCTCAAGCAATCTGCCCACCTTGGCCTCCCAAAATGCTGGGATTTACAGGCATGAGTCACCATGCCCAGCCCATAGCATTCTTTATGCTGAGGGTCCAGCGCCCCAGTTCTGTCTCCTCCAGCCCCTCAAAAGGACCTGGGGGAGCAGACATCCTGGGTCTCACCCTCCCCATCCACTGTGTGTCACTTGAACCACAGGGTGACTTTGTTGGCAAGTCCCAGGCCATGAACTATGTTCCCCTCAAGCAACCCTACCTAGCGAGATCTAACCCCTGGACCACAGGGTTGATGCTATGCTATGCCCACATCATGCCCCACATGGCAAGGCCATGTTTGTGACACTTGGATGACATGTCTGCAACCTGCCACACACTAATGATACGTTAAGGATATGCAATTTATCGGTCACATGCTAATGACATGGCTGCAATATGCCAGATGACATGGCCCTTATGTCAGGCCATGTTCCAAGCTCTGTACATATATTCATTCAATTATCATGACACCCACACAGGTGGACACTGTTATTATTATTATTATTATTTGGAGACAGAGTCTCACTCTATTCCCCAGGCTGGAGTGCAGTGACACTATCTCGGCTCACTGCAACCTTCACCTCCTGGCTTCAGGCGATTCTCCTGCCTCAGCCTCCCAAGTAGCTAGGATGACAGGTGCCTGCCACCATGCCTGGCTATTTTTTGTATGTTTAGTAGAGACGGGGTTTTGCCACGTTAGCCAGGCTGGTCTTGAACTCCTGACCTCAGTTGATCTGCCCACCTCGGCCTCGCAAAGTGCTGGGATTACAGGTGTGAGCCACCGTGAACAGCTGACACTGTTATTATTAATACAAGAACTTTGCTTTACAGGTGGGGAAACTGAGGCATGGGGCTTGGAATCACTTTTCCAGTGTCACACAGCAGGCCAGGGGCTGAGGAGAATTTGAGACCATGCTCCATGAACCTCAACTATGAGGCTAAGGTGGGGTTTCTCAACCTCCACACTGTGGACAGCTGAGGCTGGATAATTCTTTATGATTGGGGGACTGTCCTGGGCATTCATTGTAAGACTTCAAGCAGCATCCCTGGCCTCTACCTGCTAGATGCCAGTAGCACTCTCTTGGTCCCAATAAACAGAAATGTTGAGGCACTGCGGCAGGAGTCTGTGGTCCCAGCTACTAAGGAGGCTGAGGTGGGAGGATTGCTTGAGCCCAGGAGTTTGAGACCTATCTGGCCAACATAGAAAGACCATGGTCTCTAAAAAAGAAAAATTAAAAGAAGAAATGTCTACACACATTGCCAAATGTCCCCTGGTTGGGGTTGGGGTGGAAGCAGATCATCCCTGTTTGCAAACCACTGAGCTAAGGCAACGTGCCAGTTGATGGCGTGTCATGATATGTCAAACATACACGAAAATACATAAAATACGAGGCCAAGGTGAGAGGATCACTTGAGCCCAGGAGTTTGAGACCAGCTTGGGCAACATAGCGAGACCTCGTCTCTATTAAAGAAAAAGAAAGAAAGAAAGAAAAAATAGAAAGTACATAAAATGAGCTAACAATTAGCACCTGCTACGTACTAAGCGCTTTGAGGTTGTTATCTCATTCCTCACGACAGCCCTATGAGGTGAGTCTATACGAGGCACAGAGAGATGATGCCGAATGGCCGGGTCACACAGCTCGAGGTTGGCAGGGGCGGGATTCGAACGCACAGATTCCCTGAACCCTCCCAAACTGAGCGGCCCTCGGGGGGCCGCAGGTGGCTACTGCGCATGTGAGGACCTGAGGCCGGCGCCCCCTGGCGGGGCGGGGGCGGGGCCTGGCTGGGTCCAGGCGGCGGTGACGTCACGCGATGACTCACTCGGCCCCGCCCCACGGCCCGCGGCCTCTTGGCCATTTATAGAATCGGCACCGGCTCTGAAGTCACGGCCCAGGCACGACGGGGGAGGGGTGGGGGAGCTCTTGGCGTGCCCCCCAACGGGGCAGCCCCGGGTACCCCCAGGGGGCAGCCCTTTCCGGGACTGCCTTGTGACTCTGATTGTAGTAGATCTGTGTCTCTGTATCTCTGTCTCTGGGTCGCCGAGCCTTTTTCTATCTCTGCCTTTGTCTCTGTGTCTCTGTTTTTGTTCCTGGGCTTTGAGTAATTCTGTTTCTCTTCATGTCGCTGTCACTATATTGTCTCTGTCTCTCTTCGCGTCTGTCTCTTCGCGTCTCTGTCTGGTAGATGGGGGTACAGGCATTAGAGGGGGCCGATCCCATACCAAGGCCCCAATCCCAGTAGACACCCCCATCACTGACTGCCCAGTGTCATCCGTTATTCGCTCCTTTCTGGCGTTTTCCAGGCTCTGGCCCCTCTGTGCCTCAGTTTTCCATCTAAATGAGAAGTGTGGGATCTTGTAAGAGGCAGGGTTTCCCGAAGGGTCTAAGACAGTCATTGTAGGAAAGCCATACCTCTCCTCAACTTTAGGGGACCCCCTAAAACCTTCCTGTTGGCTCAGAACCATTTAAAACTCACACCCGGCCAGGTGCGGTGGCTCGTGCCTGTAATCCCAGCACTTTGAGAGGCTGAGGCGGGTGGATCACCTGAGGTCAGTAGTTTGAGACCAGCCTGGCCAACATGGTGAAACCCCATCTCTACTAAAAATACAAAATTAGCCGGGCATGGTGGTACATGCCTGTAATCCCAGCTCCTCGGGAGGCTGAGGCAGGAGAATCGCTTGAACCTGGCATGGCAGGCAGAAGTTGCAGTGAGCCAAGATCACACCACTGCACTTCAGCCCGGGCCACAGGAGTGAGACTCTGACTCAAAAAATATAAAAATGAAAATAAAATCCACACCGACACGTGTTTGTCTGTTTGTTTTGGGGAAAGTCAAAACCCTGCTCTGCACCGGCCTATCTTAGCCTGCTCTGCGAGCCCCCTGCTCACCAAGCTTTCCTATCCGGAAATCTGGCAGAGGCGCTTGTTCCTAAAGTCTTCTGTTATGGGAACATTCACTCCATGCCAGTCACAATCTCTTTTAATCCTCACCATCACCTCAGGATGGAAACTCATAGGTCCATTTTATAGATGGGAAACTCAAGGTTCAGAGAAGCTAAGCCACCCTCCTAGGGTAACACTGCTCCTAGCTTTTCTTCTGTGTCCTTTCAGATGTGCTGCTGCTGCTTCTGCTTCTGCTTCCTCTTCCTCTTCCTCTTCCTCTTCCTCTTCTTCTCCTTCTCCTTCTTCTCCTTCTTCCCTTTCTCCCTTCTCTTCTCTTCTCCCTTCTTTCTTCTTCTCCCTTTTTTTTTTTTTTTGAGTCAAAGTCTCGCTCTGTCAGTCAGGCTGAGTGGCGTGATCTCAGCTCACTGCAACCTCCACCTCCCAGTTTCAAGCAATTCTGGAGCCTCAGCCTCCCAAGTAGCTGGGATTACAGGCACCCGCTACCACGCCAGGCTACAGATGTGTTTCTTGAGTCCCCAAACACGTTCCCACCTCAGGGTCTTTGCACTAGCAGTTCCTGCCACCTGGAACACATTTCTGCAAGATGCCTGCCTGCATGGCCTCTCCCCAACTTCATTCAGTCTCTGCTCTAATATCACCTCTCAGAGAAGCCTTCCCTGACCACCTGCTGTAAAATAATAGCATCTCTCACCCCCAGACTGACTGTGAGTGGGTTGACAGGGAGGGAGCTGTTCACTTACAGTCTGACTACAGTGGCTCAAGTCTGTAATCCCAGCACTTTGGGAGGCCAAGATGGGTGGATTGCTTGAGTCCAGGAATTCAAGACCAGCCTAAGAGACATGGCAGGGCCCTGCCTCTACAAAAAAAAAAAAAAAAAAAAAGAAAGAAAAAAAGAAAAGAGTATTTTTAAAAAGTGTACTTTGGGAGGCCAAGGCAGGAGGATTGCTTGAGCCCAGGAATTGGAGGCTGCAGTGAGGTATGATCATGACACTACATTTTTTTTTTTTTCGAGACAGAATCTCGCTCTGTCATCCAGGCTGGAGTGCAGTGGCATGATCTCAGCTCACTGCAACTTCCACCTCCCAGGTTCAAGCAATTCTGCCTCAGCCTCCTGAGTAGCTGGGATTACAGGTGCCTGCCACCCTACCTGGCTAATTTTTGTATTTTTAGTAGAGACAGGGTTTCACCATGTTGGCCAGACTGGTCTCGAACTGCTGACCTCAGGTGATCTGCCTGCCTTGGCCTCCCAAAGTTCTGGGATTACAGCACTGCGCCCAGCCATGCCACTGCATTTTAGTTTGGGTGAAAAAAAAAATAAATAAGAAAAGAAAAGAATGCTTGACAACATGCAATGCAGGGGAGGCTGTGGGAACACTGTTGATGAGTGTGGGCAATTTGTTGATAATTTTCCAAATGACAAATGTCCTTACCTTCTGAACAAGTATATCCTCTATTTTAGAATATTCCTCAGAAGTACAAGTGTAGGTGTGAAGAATGACATATGTGCAGGAACATTTATTGCAGTGGCCTTGTCATAATAAATCACTGTATAAATCCCATCAACCGGGGACAGGGAGATAGACAAAGTTGAAGTCAAAACATATAGCACGTTGTTTCAACTAAATGAAGACACTGAAGTGCTGTGGTTAACAGTGGGGACTCCAGCTGGGCGCGGTGATTCATGCCTGTAATCCCAACGTTTTGGGAGGCTGAGGCGGGTGAATCACCAGAGGTCAGGAGTTCGAGACCAGTCTGGCCAACATGGTGAAACCCTATCTCTACAAAAAATACAAAAATTAACTGGGCGTGATGGTGGGAGCCTATAATCCCAGCTACTTGGGAGGCTGAGGCAGGGGGTTTCACCATGTTGGTCAGGCTGGTCTTGAACTTCTGACCTTGTGATCTGTCTGCCTTGGCCTCTCAAAGTGCTGGGATTAGAGGTGTGAGCCACTGCACCTGGCCCATTGCATTTATTTCTATCTATCTATCTATCTTGGAGATGAGGTCTCACTATGATGCCCAGGCTGGACTTGAACTCCTGGGCTCAAGCGATCCTCCTGCCTCAGCCTCCTAAATAGCTAGGACTACAGTGCCACCGTGCCTGGCCCTCACTGCATTTAATTGTCATATCTCCATACATTCCTACAGTCTATAATAGTCCCTGGGTCTTTCAGGACCTTGACACTTTTGAAGAGTGCTGGTCAGTTATTTTGTAGATCGTCTTCGAATTTGGTTTGTCTTGAATAAACTGAGGTGTTTGCATTACCAGGAAGAATACCAGAGAGGTGATGATGTACCCTTCTAAGTGCGTCATACCAAGGACTTCATGATATCACCATGAGTCATTGCTGGTGATATTAATGTTGGTCCCTTGGTTAAGGTGGTGTCTGCTAGGATCTTCCACTGTGAAGCTGCTACTTTTTATAGGGTTCTTTCTGGGACTGCATGTTAAAGACTCTGCACCAGGGCCTCACATATGGTGTTCTGTGTTAATATATACAGGACATAAAGTATGTACATACTTGTCTTTTATTTGTTTGTTTTGGGGTTTTTTTGTTTTGTTTGAGACAGAGTCTTGCTCTGTTGCCCAGGCTGGAGTACAGTGGCGCGATCTCGGCTCACTGCAAGCTCCGCCTCCTGGGTTCAAGTGATTCGCCTGTCTTAGCCTCCAGAGTAGCTGGGACTACAGGAGCCCGCCACCATGCCCGGCTAATTTTTTTTGTGTTTTTTTTAGTAGAGACGGGATTTCACCGTGTTAGCCAGGGTGGTCTCGATCTCCTGACCTCGTGATCCTCCCGCCTTGGCCTCCCGAAGTGTTGGGATTACAGGCGTGAGTCACCATGCACATCCTGTGCATACTTGTTTTTAAAAGACTACTGGCCTTGTGTAGTGGCACATGCCTGTAATCCCAGCACTTTAGGAGGCCAAGATGGGTGGATCACTGTATGCCAGAAGTTTGAGACAAGCCTTGGTAACCTGGTGAGACCCCATCTCTATTTAAAAATAATAATAATAGGCCGGGCGCGCTAGTTCACGCCTGTAATCCCAGCACTTTGGGAGGCCGAGGCTGGCGGATCACGAGGTCAAGAGATCAGACCATCCTGGCTAACACGGTGAAAACCCGTCTCTACTAAAAATACAAAAAAATTAGCCGGGCGTGGTGGCGGGCGCCTGTAGTCCCAGTTACTCGGGAGGCTGAGCCAGGAGAATGGC